TCTCATGAGAAAATCTCCAAAATTTAGGTGATGCGCAATGTCCCAGGTCCATTGCTTTTCAATCAGATGTCTGCGCTGCTACCAGGTCAGGAGCGTAGCCTGAGTGGTGGCTCTGCCAAAGTCGAGCAGGCGTCAATTCAAGGGATTTTTCCCTAGAATTTGTGATTTGTTCTGGGAGGCTCACCTATTTCCAGTGCCTGTCCTCACATGGTTCCAGCATGAAGTCACAGACGAACTAGCAGCTCCGACGTTTCATTGCGCAACACCAGAGTCCCGAGCTTTTCATGTGCAGCAATTCACCCATCACCCAATTGTATTAATGCAGAAAACCATACATGCATAGCATGTACAGTATATATAAAGTTGTCATCCCAAATGCATGTCATGCGGCCATTTCATATTTTTGCACATGAAAAGTCACGATTTCGACAATATTGATCGATCGATCAATGCGGAACACAAATGGTGCCCGCGTCGATGCCGAGTTTCAGGACTTGGTCCTGTTGCATATTATTGCCCAATAGTAGTAACCATAGGAATTTCCAATCAGGGACATGCCGATACGACAACGGCGACAAGTACATTGGGGATTGGAAGGAGGGTATGAGACATGGAAAAGGCCGCTGCGAGTACGCCAGCGGGGACAGGCACGATGGGGAATGGAAAAACGACAAACGCCATGGCGCGGGGCGGTGTCTGTACGCATGTGGAGATAGGCACGAAGGTGAGGCTGCGCAATTGCAATGCTTCAACGGAATGATGCCCTTTTTGATAGTTTTACTGCCTGTTGGAACCTGACTGGTTGTTTCCGAATTGCAACTCATGAGGAGTCCCTGAGCGCGGCTCAACCTTCCACATCGTCTTCGTTGCAGAGTGCGCCGCGCGGCGTGAAAGGCATGTTGAAATGGCATGCAATAGCCGCGCAACCATCAAATGAGAGATGAATCAACGTGCAGGTGAATGGCTGGATGGCCGACGCCACGGAGCAGGCGTATGCATCTTCGCCGATGGCACGAAATTTCGAGGGAATTGGGAAGACGACTGCTGGGTCCAAACAGGGGCAGATCCCAAGAAAACGAGAGTTTTGGGGCCGGGTATGTCGCGAGCTGTCGCCGGGAGAGAATCGCAGATTGGAATTGAGGTGATGCAGCGATCCGCACCAGGCGAGAGCTTAATTTTAATTTAAGGAACGCGTAAGCAACATTGAGCCTTACATTATGAAGAAAGACTCAATGGCTGCTTTTTGTGTGTACGCTGCTTGAGAGCTGCCCCAAATGTAATTATGGATCCAACATATTGGCATGTCCTTACAGTCGATTTTGTTCTCACTTCTCCAGTTTGTGTATCAACCCAAGTTAGAAAATGCACATAGGGAGGTCTGTTCCATGAAGCTCAATTTTGAGATGTTGATTTTTCATGCCCACGCGCAAGTGGTGTTTGAATTAAGTCAAGTTCATGAAATTTACCATACCGTTGACATCCATGACAAGCAAATGCAGTTCCATCACAGCTAGGTCTTGAAGTACCTCGTTCATAAGGATGATATGAGTTCGCTGTACACAGAAAACTATTTCTTGATCCACAAATTAAAGTATTAGCCAAAGCTGGCCGCAACAATCACTGGCAAACAACAGCCTCAAATAGGCTGCAAGGGTTGCGCGAATTCACATCGGTTTTGCACAGCAGACACACGGTATCTTGTACTCACAAACTACCGATTGCTTAGTTCTGCACTTCCTGCCGATCACCAGTTCAATGCGCGTGTTCTCATTCTGAGCAATGGCAAGTCGTTTGAAATGCACATGCTATCAATATTGACATACACGTGGAAACCAGACGTGCTGGCACCAGGATAATCTGCTTCATGTGCGTGGCTGCTGTTTTCCACTCAGGCTCGCGACGACCAAGGAAACAAACGTCTGAGCGGTGGAGACGCATTTTCTATCATATTGCGCGGTCCTGAAAGTGTATGCGGTGAAGTAGAGGACAACGAAGATGGCACTTACGTTGCAAAATACACTGCCAGAAAGGGAGGACTGTACGAGGTGTACATTCTCACAGGTATGAAAGAACGCTGGAAGATGCCTTGATGTGATCAAACAAGCACAGCGCAGTGATGGTTTGGTGTTGCATGGATGGCGGGCCTTGCGCCTCACATTTCATTTGGGAGGGGCAACGCGAGTGTGAATGCGATTCGATCGCGGAGTTGTATATCGGATTGCGGCTGAAGATAAAATCTAATGTTGATTCGGTAAAATGGTCGCCACCGTCAGAGCGGGTTATGCGCAAATGCTTACCATGAGAGTGTGCTCTTCGGCGCTGTCCATCCTGGCTACCCGATCAGGAATTGGCTCCATACAATTCCATATGCATTATGCAAGATAATTTCGCACATATCGCACTTGCATTTCACATAGAGAATCACATGGTGAACTGCGGGGTTTTCGCAGACTGGCACGTATTTTGCAGGTAGAAACGTGGAACATCCGCCTGCGCCCACTGACGCACACTGTTGCATTAAGGCCAGGTTGTTTTGTGCATCCCACTACGTTACAGAAAAATGATACAGCTTCTGTTCTGCTGAAAACGATGTCTCTATTTGGCGAGTCCAGGAGACGGCGAAGCCGTGGCAGACTCCCCGTACATGGTGAGAGTGCTCGGAGGGAAGCCCTGTGGCCGAAAATGCACCGCAGAAGGGGAAGGAAGGCGAAGCGCCACGGTAAACAATTCGGCGCAATTCCGCGTCGTCCTTCGGGACGAATACGGAAACAGGTGCACAGCCGATACGGCGGAATCGGAGATGCCCATCGAGGTATGGATCTGTTCTACTGAGGACGGATGTGCTCCCAGACTGGCGGTGTGTATATCCCTTGTGCAGTGATCGCGCACAGGATTTGTTTGAAAACACTGTGTTTGTCCATAAACACAGCTGGTCAGCCCAAGGGGCCGCCAGCAAGCGGAGTCCAAAGAGAAACAAAGAGAAGCCCCAAATAGCCAACACGAACCCACGAATCGCAATTGCGGTCCGTCCATCCACTCGAGTCCAGCCATGGGTATGTCGCTGAAATGAAGTACAGTTCAAAAATCAAGAACAAATGGAGGAAATGAGAAATGGAAAATGAAACGAGGTGCAAAAATGAAATCGTTTCATTATGGCTGGTGCTGTTGAAAGCAGTGATTTTGAGCTGACTGTATTTAATCCTCAATGCCACCACGTGATTGGCACGTCAAGTTTCATATCCTCTCTACGGTAGATGATCCGATTTGTTGGGGCGAAATCTCCCACTATTTACCACAGCGCTAAAGGCTTCAAGCCGTGCTGAAGCGCTGAACATCGCGCATGAGCGATGCACCAAGTTTTGAATCAGCACCACGTCGGTTACTTTGAGCTTGGATTCCTACCACGCATTTGTCCAGAGGCGCAATGCAGGTGCATCATGGGGTCATCACTGCAAACTGCCGGTCCAGAATTTTGCCGTCCAGTCATGTAATCCAACGCTGACCGTGGATCCAGTACATGACCATACAGATGCCGCACACATCCTGTTACGATACATGTGAATAACGTTTGCGCCGCACAAGAAAATCCGGCAGAGTGGTGCATTGTTTGTTGCCTCGGCATCGCGCTTGAGCAGACCAACTGCACAGCAAGAGAAAGCGCGCTTCTGGGTTGTTGGCCTCCAGCTGAGCAACATAAATAGAATGACCTCCAGCGTTCGCACAACCATCCAGAAATTTGGTAGATGTTGATGCAGTGTTGATGGGGTTTGGTGTACGTGGGTCAAAACAGAGATCAATAACATTGGTGAACTGCACCTAAAACAATGGCTCTTGATATCGGTTTTAATCAACCCTCCAAGAAGGCATCTTGATGCAACATTCCAAACAAGCAGTCTTGCGACAATGCTGCATCAACGATCCCTTTTGCCAGCCCTGAAATACTTCGGAAATTTGACAAGCGCTGGATCAATACTAACCTTCAGGGATTGTGTCTGGACACGAGCTATACAGATCTGTATAGCGGCGTTGATGCAAATACCTATCAATGTTGCATCAAATGCCGACAAATTTCCGTATGACAATGTTCGCGCGTTGCTGTTGCATTGAGAACAACGCCATGCTGAACGGCGCTAATGAGCGTTACCAGCGCAGGTCGAGTTGTCATCGGGACCGTCGAAGTGCGCTGTGTCCGTCTTATTTGAAGGGCACGGCCGGTACCAGTGCCAGTACACTGCGCAGTACCCGGGATATTACAGGCTGGAAGTGATGTCAAAAGGGAAGCAAATAGCCGGAGGTCCTTACTCAGTGAAGGTGCGACTTTGTGACAAGGGAAAGTCTCCTTAGCACTGGATATTCAATATCCAAAACACTTGAACATTTCAAGTGTTGCCAGCACGGCAGCACACGCACCATGCCTACTGCATAGTGAAATGGTCAGAAGTCTCAAACCCGATGCATTAATTACTCAAACGCGCCAAATATGATATTGGGCCAAAAAGGCTGTGAATGCCTTGCCAAGAGCTAAACATCTAGCATCTATCTTCACAGTGGGCAATAACATTCACCCCCCAAGGCCATGAAGGGAAACCATGCTGCGTTGTGAGACAGACGTCGTATGAAGTGGATAACGCGTGGGTATGTGCCATTTGCGTGCAGTGGTCCCCACACCTTGCATATATTTTCCCATGGACAGGAGCGGGACATCTGTGGAGGCAGTCAAAATTGCAGCACACATTGGGCGATGGCTTGTTTCTGTATGGCTCTCTTGTCAGGATTTACATCTTTTGTTTGGCGGTTGGGAGTGGGTGGGCAATGTGGTACTCAACAGGGGGCCGCTCTGCTCACAAAGTTCGCCATTGGGAAACCTTATATTCAGTTGCCACATCACGGGTCAAAGCTTGGCAAAAGTTGTTGATCCGCAGTAGAATTTGGAGTCACCACAGACCTCCACGTCTCGGGCACTCGACGGCTGTAATTTCCTTCTCCCGCTTGTCTTGAAAATGGCCCTGCTGGGCAGTGTCACACACACAAGTGGCGCGTCTGGGATGTTTGCGCAGGTGTCGGAAGGCACTCAATTGCCGCGCGACCCCCTGGGGGATGCAGTCAGTCCCATTGAAGACCTGAACAGCAGATGGGAGAAGATAGCTGAGGCGGAGTACGCCAAGGACGGTGCCACTGAGGGGTGGAGCAGCGACGACGACGCCCAGCATGAGACCTCAGACATGGCGTTCATCAAGGTCAGGCGTTGTCGCAATTCAGAAAACAGTCTCTCCAGTGGGCGATACTCGAACTGGCAACAGATCCTATCACAGCCATAATAAACAAAGGGTGTGCCTGATTTCCTTACTCAGCGGTTGAATGCGAATGTGTGGGCGATGCTCGAACTGGCAACAGATCCTATCACAGCCATAATAAAAAAAAGGGTGTGCCTGATTTCCTTACTCAGAGGTTGAATGCGAATGTGAACACCATTGGAGCAGGATTTAAGTATTGCATGCCGACGTTGTCATTGTTGGCGCTTCTCATCCAATCGGAGCACGAAAGCATGCTGGGCTTTCTAGATGATGAAATCGACGTTTCTGCTTTGCAGTATCGCGCGAAATTGTCAGCAAAACACCGAATAGCGTGGACTAATATAAATGCCCGTTAGATACGTATCACACACGTGGATACACCGCTGGCAAGCTGAGAGTAAGCAAGCAACACTTTTAATCTGGCAAATGCGACCACCTCACAAGCTTCCACATAGCGGAGACCTATCGGAGGTGTGTCCCAAAAGACTGCGTGCGGTTCATTGCATGGCACACCATCTTGAAGCCTGTGGTCGCCACACGATCGACCAGCGCCGGCCGGAATTTTCGCTGGCAGCATGGACGGAAGAATGAGCGCAAAGTGAAGGCTTGCACAAAAATGGCGAGTACATCTTCCACAGGGTTCGTCCAGTCAACCAGTAATAATCGCGGCTTACAACAGCACAATAGAGGCGTAAAAGATATCCCTCGAATTGCGAAAATCGGTTGGTTTCAAATACTGGCAGGCAGTCGGTACATGACGCCCTAGATGCAGGATCCGCGTAGATCGCCGGGAGAGCGCTGTCTCACTCCTTTTCTGCCACTGTGTCCCTCTCTCAACTCATGTGGAGAGCCGCAGGGAAGCAAGAAAGGCGCAAACTCATTGCACCTGGACCTGATCAAAGTTCCCCTGTTTCTAGTACTTGTGGAAGCGGAAGTAATACGATTACTCATGGCGGTGCATGCATTTGGCAACAGTAGTCACACAAGTGCGGCATGTTGAAATTACTTTTTCCAATACCATGACTGTGGGTCTATTCAAAATCCACCTCTTAACTGGTTGACTCTGGTTTTGTGCCTGAGAATCCCACAAAGGGCAAAATTCAGGCACCCAACCTGAAGAACTTGCCACATGAGGCTTCATGAAACTCACTCTGCTGCTTCTTAACTATTTCGCCAAGCAGGAGTATCAAGACGCGTCTGTAGAGGAGCTGATTTTGCTATTGCGTTGTCTTTTTGTTTCATGTGGCAGAAGCATCCAGATGTGCCTGTGGTGGAAAATCTGGAAGATCTTTGGAAGTTGAGCAAATTGCAGCAAGAAAGGAAAGCGAGACAGAAGAAGAGTGAGGCAAGGGCAGGGCACGTCATGAGGGATGCCCCACCCTTGCTGCCACAGTGCACTCAACAGGCCCTGTCTTCCTAGGCATCAAAGGCTGTATGGTTTCGTGTCATTGAATTCGACCCCGTTTCATGATTATTCTGAAAAGTCTTGGGCATTGCTTGGCCAATATCAGCACCACATTGGCAACCAAGTTCTGCGTGACTTTGCTGTGCTCCTCTTCTCTAGCACCTTGAATGGGGCCACCTGCAAACTTGCATCGAGCACTTGCTACACACGGCAGCAATATGAGTGGCGAGGGCAAATTGGCAACGTATCTTGTGTGCCTCGGACTATTCTACTGCCAGCTTGAGAGTGTGCAACAACACAGTTCCCATATGCTGCAATAGCAGACCAAGGCACTGGATCATTGGTCTTCAAAGACATTAAGCGTACAGCAATGGGGAATCATAACAATGCTGCAGATGAACTGCTGTAGGTCAATGCATTTGTGTTGCCCTGGTTTTAAGGCAGCAGGGATCAAACAACTTTGCAGGCACATGGGCAACACATTGCCAGCAGCCATTTTGCACATTCGGCACATCCACAGTTTGCCTGTGCCTGCACTTATTCTTTCCAAGGGAACTTGCTTGCCTCTGTTTACTGACTTTTGTCCAGCAATGCACGCTTGCAAAACTCAACAATGACTTCTGGTTCAGCAAGGGCACCTGTTCCTGTGTCCCCGCAAGCCAAAGTCTTAACCACTGGAGGAATGACACCAACTCCAAGATTCCTAAGCCTCTGTAGCTGCTCTGTGGTAAACTTGCTGTCCCACATGCATGTGTTCATTGCCGGTGCCACCAGCAACGGTTTCTCAAAGTCCCATGCGCGCACAACACTCGTCAGGAGGTTGTCGCAGAGCCCATGGGACACCTTTGCAAGTGTGTTGGCAGACAAGGGGGCAATGACGAAGCAGTCAGCCCACTTCCTGAGGTCAATGTGCAACACGGGGTCTCCCTTTTGGTTCCACTGCCGCCACTCAGTTTCGTCACCCAAAAGAGGCTGGCAGGGCGGTGGCAGGTCGAGTTCTGCGAAGAAGTGCCCAGCAGCATCGGTTGCAATAACCTGCACAACAAAAACACCAGATTGCACCTCTTGATTTCCGCACCCAAATTTTTAGAACATAATCATTTCCAGGTTCTCAAAATAGACTAAACCGACGGCTGTGCATGCGATGCATTCGGGCAGGGCATGGTTTAGCGTGCTGTCCCTTGCGGTGAGTTCTTTCTCGAACAAAAGGGATGCCGCTTCAACACACGTATTCTCGCACTCCGCGGAAAGAGGGCTTTCTAAAGAAGAGTGATCGGCCGCCATTGGCCGCCCTGGCAGTCACGCGAGCGAAACCAATCTCGCGAACCGCCCTGTCTCTCCATCCGACAGATGGGCGCACAGTTTCACCTTGACAGCCGCAAACTCCGACAGCAGCTCGGCAATCCTGGGAACCTTCACTGCGGCAACGCTTCCGGACGCGCCTAGGAGGACGTTGGGGCGCGCACTCTGTCCGTTGCTGCCGGTCGAAAGTTCGACATCCATCGCAGGGGGGCACAACCGGCAATTGACCGACGGAGCCACTTAGTTCACACATCACACCACAGGGCAGGCCAATGACGCGATGCCACATCAGCCCCCTCCCTCCCCGAAACAACAAAATCCGAAAGAAACCGAGTGCAATGCAAGGAAACAGAACTGGGAAAGAAAGGGAAAGAAGTGGGGATTTTCTAGAAGAAGAGGAAAAGAAGTGTGGACTTTCTAATACAGGGAAGAAGCTGGGACCCTTCTAGTAGAAAAGGAAAGAAAGTGGGGACCAAAACATATTGTCGCCTGAACGCTCCCTCCTCCCGTTTTCCGCCAGCCGCGATGGTCCCGACCGCCTGCGAAAGAAGATAGCGCCCCAGGCTGCGCGGGCACAGGCCACCTGCTCCAGCCTGACGCATATTACTTCAAACTGGGCCGCGATTGGCGGAGAGGGCCCCTGCCCCTCCGATGGGCGCCTCCTCGAGTCGCTCTGGCGACAAGGGGATCGTCACCGTCAGCGAGAAGCCAGGCGCCACCAAGGCGCGCGTCGATCCGGTGCTGGACGAGCTCGCGCGCCTCGAGAGGCTCATTCCTGAGGCGCCAAAGGTGAGAAGCAAAGCAAAAACCTGAGCAGCAAAGCAAGAAAGCAAGAAGAAAGGTAAGATGGGGGCTGCACGTTCCCGCGCCTGTCGCGGATATCCAGCCGTGTCGCCCCGTGGCGCCAAATGCAAATTGTAAAGCAAGGGGGAAGAAACAGGAAGAAAAGTAAGATGGGGACTGCACGCTTCCACACCCGCCGCGGAATGCCAGCCAGCCGAGTCGCCGCGTGGAAGGCGGCTTTTTGACCGGCAGGGTGGGTAGGATTTGTTGCAAAGAGAGAGAGAGAAACAGGTCATACAGGGCACGCCCCCGAGCAATTGTGTGCGAGGCTTTTTACCGTGCCGTGCGGGCGGGGTGCGCAGGGACTGGAGGAGTTCTGGAGCGAGCTCCAGATCCTGCAGGGCCTGACGGCCTCCCCGTCGGTCGTCGACGCGTCAGGGCTGTTCTCCGCGCTGCGCGCCCTGGCGGAGTCCAACGCGTCCAGTGTCGCGGAGCGGCAGGCCGAGATCGCGACCCTGCAGGCGCGCACGCGCAGGGAGGTGGAGGAGGCGGAGGACAGGGTCAGGGAGATGGAGCGCGGGGTGCAGGCCACGGCGGATCAGCTGCGTCGGGCCGCGGGGCTGAGGACAATGGCCGCGGAGATCTCTCGGAGCATCGAGGCGCTGTCGGCGAGGCTGGAGGCGGGGGAGGCGGGGGCTGGCGGCTCCAAGCGGTGGGGGTGAGATTGTTACAGGACAGTGCAACGCATAGCCCACTTTTCTTCCACCTTTGGGCAGGTTTAGGGGGAGCATCGAGGCAGAAGAAGGCGGATACGAAGGAGAGAGCGTCAAGTGTCAGCGTGGTGTGTCCACTGTCGAAGATCGGTGTCCACACCGGCAGCCCAGACAACGATAAGAAGCGCGGGGGGTTTTGGGAGGCGGAGTGATTGTGGTGGAGGGAGGAGTGGCTGAGGCGGGCGAGAGGGCCGTGGGGTGGGGTGGATCGCTGTCTTGGTGAAGAAAATGGGGAATTGCTGCGATTGGAGCACGGGGAGGGCGTAGTGGAGGTAGGCGCGCTGTCATCGTGTTGCTGCCGCTGCATTGTCGATGTGCGTGGGCGCACTTTGGACAGTGCGCGATTTGACGGCGTACGGACACCGAGGGCGATGAATGTTGTGGGATGGAAAGGCCCGGCTGTGGTCAGTACAGCAGCATCTGATGCTTCACAAAACATCCCAGGAAACTGACCATACGCTTGTGTTAACGCTGCAGGGGAAGTTTCCAAATAACAGCAGGGAAGCAAGGTACCCATGGGAGTAATGGGTCCCTTGCCCTGAGAGCGGAGGCCCCTGATGGAATTCAGGTTGAACAATCGAACTGATGGTATCCAATGGTGTGGGTTTCCATTTAGAACTCAAGAGGCATCCAAGACGCTGATGGCGTTGTGCGTTCAGTCAGGGACACATGGAACTGTTTGTAATATGAATGTTGTTTCGGCACAGGGTGCTGGATGGAGAAAATCTCTTCTGAATTCTGGTGCAGCAGCCATCCCAATAGTTTGTTGGACCACAGGAGGGCACTGCTGAAGAACTTGGGTGGTCTTCCGAATACAGGCATTGAACGAAACAATGGGCATTTTGCAAGGCAGCATTCTTTCATGGGCCAAGCATGCTCTCCTGGGTTGTTGTCCTGAATTTTGCCACGACCCGTTCATTCATTGGAGGTGGTGCAGTGTGAAATCCCATGTCCCTGCGATGCAACATGTTGCCAACTTGCATTAAAGAGCATGTCCAGCAATTGTCAGGCCTCGTGTGCCGAGACAGGGGAGTGCTCGTCTCCCCTGGCTGTTTGCCGAAAAGACAACAGGTTTGGGTGCTGAAACCAAAAGCTGCAGACTGTCACAGCAATGGATTATCCGCTGGTGGAGAAGAGTGAGTGGTGCTGGTTGCACTGGAAGCGATTTCTAGTGGCTGGTTATGTTCTGCTAAGGATGCGTTGTGCGGTTCGTCACCACAACAGTTGGCAATTGAATGTTCCTGCCCCTCTGTGAATGGTGTCTCATTCACTCGAACATGCTTGCACTTGTGCTCCCACATAGCACTGGAAATGGAATAGGGCCTTGTGATTCTTACCAAGAGGGGTTGCTTCAGTGTATGACAAGTTGCTAGTTTTGAGTTAGATTTCAATGCACACAAGAAGCACAAACACATGTTTACACTTGGGGCTGGCAACTTTCGCAAAGCATGCAGGGTCCGATGGCCCTCGTCGGTCTGTCGTTGAATGTGTACCGACCAAAACTTGGTGGCACTGATATGCTGCAATGCGAACTGATGTGTAGCGCTGGTGCTGCTGTGTTCGCTTCGCAGGGCATTCATGTTGTAAGACAGGGGTGGGTGTGGGCAGGGGTGGGTGCAACGAGCAGGGAGCAATGACAAATCCTGGTTCGTTCCAGCGCATGATATTGGCTCTGCTATCGGCCCACCACGGCCCATCAGGGGCAAAATCGTTGCCCATCAGCAGCAAGTATTTTCTACTCGAGAACACCTAGCTTTTGTGTCCATTGAGTTGGCCCAGTACGCAATGCTGTGCCTCACAACCTGCTCCTTCTCAACTGCTCCACCTCCCAGCTACAAATGGGCTCCAAGCACGAAATTTGTCATAAATCGGTGCCACAGCCTGCAAAGCATGAGACAGGAGTCTCAGGTGTATCGTCGCCTGACATTAACTGGGTAGACCACGCTCGAACGTGCAGGGAAAGTTCATCTGGTGAGGTTGCAGAATTTCCCTCAAGACTCACAACTTGGCATTCGGGCTCTCTGTTTCTGCGGTCAACAAGAAGACCACTTCCTGCATGTGTTTGTATCCGACACCTGAGCCCCGGAGGCTTTGAGCATGCCCCAAGCCTGAAACCTTGCGATAGGGAAGTACCAAGCAACACAAAACTCCAAAAACTTATAAAACAAGATTCCCTAAGATTCCCTGTCCGTCTCCATGAAAACATTGCCCCAACCAAACTGGCGTCAACGTGCTAGGTGAGAATGGACAGCGTTCCAGAGCATTGCTTCCCGGTGCTCTAGAGTCTGCTGCTTCCCACCCGCGTCCCCACAGCCGTCAATACACGCATCATGGAAATGGAGAAACAGGCCCGAAACTGGGCCACGCGAGAATGACACACCCTCAACTCATACGCCCCAGGGGAACCTCGCTCCTTCGCTCCGCCATCAAAACGGCCCCTCCAAGTCCGCAGCTCGAGGCCCACTGCCCCGCCCTGACGCCCGCCCCGGCCGGCCCCGCTGCGTTACACGCCAGACTGTGCGACCCCGCACGCACGGCGGCGATCCAGAGCAGGCGCAGGGGGGGCAATTGGCCTCAGCGATGGGGAAGCATGTTGATCGCAGGAGCGGGGAGGTGCAGACCTGGTTCGCGGCCAAGGGTTACGGATTCATCGCGCCTGATGGCGGAGGGCCCGATGTGTTTGTCCATCAGGTGCGACCCGCCATGACGGGGCGAGGGGGGATGTTTTGGCGCTGGCGCCCGTGCCCGGATGCGGATTGGCGCCAATTGGCCGGGCCCCGACTCGCGGGGGGCTGGTGCGCTCGATGGGGATTTCTTCCAGCGAGCCTGGGCTTGATGAAGGGCCTGCCGCTGATTGCGGAAGTGGCCGCGCTAGCGCTGCTGGCCCGCGCTGCAACGAGTGGGGCAAGGGCTCCCAGTTCGCGTGATTCGGTGCTGGTTGGGCCCCTCGGCATTTTTCTGCCCGGATGGCCGGCGCCTCGGGGAGGGCTGCGGGGTGCTGCCTTGGGAGCGGCCGCTGCCCGGAGGCTTGAGGTGGCTGTTGATTGCGGGGACCGTCTGGAGCACCGCGTGTTGGTTGCTGGTGGTATGCCCTAGCTGGGGAGGTGTGTCTGAAGGGGAGCCTGCCCTAGTGCCTCGAGCGTGCCCCGGGTGCCTGGAGAGCGTTCGGCGCGAGATCTCGTGCTGATGGGGAATGCAGATCCCACAGACACGGGCATCAGGGGCTCTGGTCCCATGTCGTACTGTGCTTCAGTGGCACGCATTCATGGAATTCTTGGAGCCATCTGAACAACTTGCACACCAAGCAGGGGTTTCGTTGCCAAGCCGATGGTTGATTCTGCGCCAAGGTTTGCGCGTCTGCTGCTGGGACTGGGGCTGGATACAGACGAGAACGCTGTTTGTGCTGATTTGGCCATATCTTGCTTCTCTGTTGTAGTCGGCCATACAAACTCAAGGCAGCAGGAGTTTGACTTCTGGCGATCGGCTGGAGTTCTCGATTGTAAAAGATGCAGAGGGGCGGACGAAAGCAACACATGTTGACATCCTGCAGTGCGCTGGCACACTGGAGGTACACGTTGCTGGTGATCTGCAGCCTGGCAAGGCACAGGAATGGTGCTGGAACACACCCAGTGTGTGCCATATGTTGAAGCCGTGGTGGTCAACAAACAGACGCTGTACATGCACTGAGGACTGCCCTGACACAGTGGGGGCTGTGCAATCACCAAGCTTGGCAGCCAGTGACAGCAGACAAACAAAGGGTTGCAGGGTCACAATGCACCCCAAGAGTAGAAATGTCCCTTGGCAACCCATTTGAATAACACCAGACTCATCTGCCTTTCTCATCTTTGTGCAGTGACTCATGAAATGGTGTACTCATGCAAAAGTGTCAGGTCCGCGCCAAGAGCTTGTCGACTATTGCATCTAGTGTTTCAAAATGTGTATCGCATCTGTATTTGGGGGAAACATGATGGCATTAATTCCATCTCAATCTGCAATCACTGTTTCTGGAGCGTATCTCACAGGGTATGCACTTGCTCTGGTGTTGGAACATGCACACAGCAGGCCAGTGCAGGGCAGGCACTTCTTGGACTGGACACTTTTTCATCCCACCACCAATTAAACACAAGTAGCATTCCTTTTCCATCTCGAGCCATTGCTGTTTCATCAGTTGTCTCTTTGACCCTTTGGTTCGCCCCTTTGGAGCATTTCCTGGTCACTGCCTTCTCTCTGAAGTGAGATTTCCCACAAGTTCGTCCATCTTTTTGTGTTTTTGCTGCGAACACTGCATGCGGGGCAGAGCAGCCATGTAGCAGGATATTGCAGAGTGGCTTCAGTGGCCCTTGGTTCTTGATATTGGTAGCCGAACATTTGCTGAGGAGCTTGCATGTATAGACACAAAATTGTGTCCCCTCTTTCTTTCCAGCCATCGAAATGTTTCTTCCTGACCTTTTCAGGGCTGAGAGTCAATATCCAACACTATTTTGTTTGTGAGCAGGGGTCATGAACCACCAAATGCAGTGTGCTTCTTGAGGGGATCAAATGTTATCATCGCTTTAATGGTGCAAGACAATTGTTTGGCATGTGACCACAAGAGCTATCAAAGCAGATTTTGACAGTGTGGATCGATTCGCTGAAGCTGCAGTCTGTGCTCCTACGTATGCAGGAATCACATTTCTTGTGTCCTCAAGGAGAGAACTGTGGCCGCAAGGCCAGGAGTCAGAGAGGGATAGGTGCAAATTGCTCATGTGGCCTCACAAATCCCATGAAGCCCTCGTGCAAGGCATTGTCAGGGGCCTGGGCCCACGAGACCTCAAGAGCTCACAGAAGGCATGACAAGAAAGGGGAGGCGAAGCGCACAAAGGTAAATATGAATGATGTTCATGCCATTCCACCTTGCTTGTCTGGGTAGGCATGGATAGATCATCCTGTGCTGCAGTTTGCCTATGCGCAGCTGAAGTTTCATTTAGTGCTTGTGGCACCAGCATCGCATGGCAATCTGCTGCATGTACCAGTCTTGACAGAAATCACCAACTTTGTCTTTATGCATGATGGATTACAGATGGGGCCAACTATCCAAGTCTGTATGTTGCTGAGCATCCTCTTTTAAAACATTTCAGAGAGGGGGCTCGTGGTTGCCTTTGCTGTGGGGGATAAGCTTGGCGTACCTTGTTGATGAAGGATGTGAAAACCGTACGGCCCGCTCCAATGTGTTTGAGTCTATGTTTTGGCAACTGCAAACACAGAAATTTATTCACGAGTTGTATGCAGTGCTTGAGTTTGTGGTGGCAGCTGCATTGACCTGGCCCTGTGTTGCAGACAGTTCCCTCTGCACAGCCGTGCGGAGGCCCTGAAGACCCATCAGTTTTGAGCTGCAATGCAGGCAGTAACCAAAGGTCATTTGGACACATGTTGTTTTGGTCAGTGTGTAGCTGATCTGTATGGTGTTGCAATTGCGTGTTGCGGCAGTGACTAATTCTGTGCCTGGGACTCAGGCAGCACTGTGTTGTTTGTGGTGCGATTGATGCGGTGGTGGCTGTTGCATTCATGGTGTTGAATTGCAGCATATGCTCTTGTCTCTGTCAGGAAGACATCCAGGGTGGGCGCAGTCTTTCCAATTGGGCCACCATTCCCATGGACGTCATGTGGACAGCTGCCCACTATGTTCGCAACTTGGCCGACCTTGGCCGCATGCGGCTGGTCTGCCGCCACTGGCGATATGCTGTGAGCCTCAGCATTCGCGAGCTCAGCTACCCCGTCCCAGCTGCAGAAATCGCTGAGGAGTTCCCTTTGCTGTTCTACCTCGATCTTTCTGGCCGCCAGCCTTGGAACCATGATGGGTCGCAGGAGGCACTGCTCAGTGGCGTCCAGTCCTTGTCCCGCCTTCGGCGCCTTCAGAAGTTGAACTTTTCTGGCTGGCCGGAGCTACAGGACCAATGGCTGAAGGCCCTCACCCGCCTCACCAATCTGCGGGACCTAGATTTGTCACAGTGCCCCGAGATCACCGATTCCGGGTGGCAAAGCCTTTCAGAGATGACGGCCCTCAAGGTGCTGAATCTCAAGGGCTGCTGGCGGCTTCAGAGCCTGAGATGCGCCCCTCTGGTGAACCTGCTGGAGTTGAATCTGCAGGGCTGCACGAACATCAACGACAGCAGTCTGGCAGCACTGACCATGTTGGTGCACCTATCGTTCTTGAACCTGTCGTCGTGTGCTAGCATAACGGGGCGGGGCTTGCGCAGCCTGTCTTCCCTGAAGAGGCTGTCGTCCCTCAGACTGAATGACCTTGGGGAGCTTGGGGACACGGATGTTGAGGGCCTGGTGTCCGTCACCTCGCTGATTTTCTTGCAGATGGGAGAGTGGGATTTGAGCGACAGTGGGATATTGGCGCTCGCTGGCCTGCCGCGATTGGCCGACCTCGACCTCATCGGCGCGGGAATCATGGGCATCGCGCTTTCGTCTCTGACCACGTTGACGCGCCTGAGATGCGAGAACTGTTATCAGTTGGACGACAATGCGCCGTTCTTCATAGGCCAGTTGACGTCCCTGCAGGCGCTGTCCCTCCCATCATGCACCGAAATCGGGCCGGAGGGCGTTACCAACTTGGTGGCGTTGCAGAACCTCACGGACTTGAATCTGTCGGACTTGCCCGATCTGGACGACGAGTGCCTGGAGCAAATGTCCGTGCTGAGGAACCTGACGTCCTTGGACCTGTCTGGCACGCACTGGGGCGGCTTCTGTGACTTCACGGACAACGGCGCGCTGGCCCTTCAGGCCTTCACGAAATTGAACACCTTGCGGATATCAAGGTGGGCGGGGTTGTCTGACATCGGGCTGTCGGCACTGCAGATCTTGACGCGGCTCAAGGATATGGACTTGTCGTGGTGCAAGGGTGTGACGACGGATGGCATCGCGTACCTGAAGCCGTTGACGGAACTTACGAGTTTAGATATTTCATGGTGCCTGGGGCTCAACGGTCAGAGGGTTGCAGCCTTGCTGCCAAATGTGAAGCTGCGGACTTAGCAAAGGCGTGCTGGAGGCCTTGGAGGCCAGGCGTTTGAAGAACGACGAACGAGTTTGACGGGGTGGCGATACTGCGTAGTTGAACGCACAGGAACCTCATTGGGTCAGAAGAGAGGCGCCATTGTTCGGTCAGCTGTTTAGCATCTCTTCCCCCCCCCCCACCTCGAAGGTCACGAGTGCCCGCAAGTTGTTCAGTGCACGGATGTGTTTTGCCGCGTCTGCTCTGCTCAGGTGTCATCAGACTACGCTCATGGCTGCCTAATGCATGTGGATGCATATGCGAGCACAGACGGAGGCGTGGTTGGCAGGCTCCTCTCCGGTTCAGCATCGACGTGCGGAACGAGCAATCGGGTACCAGCCTGAGTTTCTGGAAGGTAATACCACTTGGTGCTACTCTTGCACAATGCGGCGCCACAGACCGACCAATTCCATGCGCCGTGGTGTCTTGTAACTCTTGCAACTCCCCTTGGAAGAAGCATGGCCAGTATGCGTGCCACATTTGCTCAAGTCTCTGCTGTAGTTCAGCAGTGGAATCAACGCCTCTTTGCAACCGTTGCAAAGGGGCAGGGTGCCTATTGTGACACGAGCGCTCTCGCTGAATGATTGTCCCAGGTGACGTTTGGGTGGCAATTTCCATGGCACCATAGCTGCTGGCAGCCAGCCAGGAGATCCATTGCAGCTCCAGAACAATGGGGGCGTTGCAGATCCAGGGGCAATGCACACCAGACGAATGTGCCAGTGCGAGTGGCAGCAGGTATAGGTGGAAGGTAGAAGGTAAAACACTAACACATTCCAATGGCAACTCTAATCCCCTTCGTCGTTCGCATCCAAGAACCGTTCAAGAAACCGCCTGTACTCCTCAATGTGCGTCTTTGCGACAGGAATGATGTGCCCAGCATCATGGACGATGGTTTGCCGACTTTCAGCTCGAAAAAGCATCGCCACATCTTCACTGTCCTGTCGTGGCACCTGGCGATCTGCAATCCCATTTGAGAACACATGCAGTGACGGTACCTGCAGCAGTCCTGTCCTTCGAAACAGAGCCTTGTGCTCTTCGACAGGCGATGGATATCCTGAGCCAAGAACAACAAAACGAACAGCTGTGAGGTGCTTGCTGTTAGACACTTTTGGTGTGCAGTCATCGAACCCGTCGTCAGTGCAGCGGTTGTCTGCCACCAAAGGTGCACTTTCAGGGCGTTGTGTGTCCAATATTGTTGTCAGAGACTCGTCGCTGTCTGCCAAATTCCTTCCATCATTTGTTGAACTATCTCCTCCCTCGGCTCTCTGCAACCGCTGTCGTTCCTCCTGCAAGGCACACACGACTGCGGCAATGCAAGCACCTTGAGAGAAACCCCAAATGCCATCAAATTGTTCGCTGCTGAGCACCTCGCTTAAGCATTTCCACGATTCCTCCCATCCAAACGTCTGATTCTTGTATTGGTCATGGTTCATTGCGTCCGAAGCGGCCAACCAACAAGCCCCATTTTCACTGGCGGGCTGTTCAGGGAGTACATCGATCTCCGGGTTTATCAACCATGCTCGCTTCACAACAGGATGGCCTTTCGTTTCTGGCATGTTTGGTCCTTGCTCCTTGGTGCCCAGTGACCCAAGCCTACTCTGCGATGAACGGCATCCATCGGTTTCCGAGCAAGGCGACAGTGCAGCGGGCTCAATATCGACAGCGCTGTTAGTTCTAGCAATCTGGCCATGTTTCGAGTAGAAGATCAGTTTGTGTGGAGCATCAATGAAGCGAAAGTCCGCAACGTCTCTCAGCTTCTTTCTGAGGGCGCAGGTTCGCCCACGGAACGCCTTGCCCGTCTGCCTGAAACCATGAAGGCAAAGGATTTTGAGCTTCCTCCTCGGACGCGCAGGACGGGGCTGCTGGGGCCCGCCCGTGGCCAACCCCCCTCCTTGCTGGCACAAACCGCAAGCCAGCCTGCCCGACGCAAGCGATTCGCAATCCGGACACAGGAGCATGAGCATCCTGCAGTGAGCGCATCTGTGCCTGCCTCCGTAATCGTCCCACGGCCGTCCACAGGCCAGGCACCTCCCAACCACGGTCCCATCTCCGCTGGACACCGCCACCCTCTCGTCGAAAACGAAGTTCTTGCCCTTGAAGAAGCCCCCGTCAGGGTAGGCGTCCATGTATCGCCATATGCCCCCCTCCAGCTGCACCACGTCCCGGAAGGCCGCCCCCCTCTCGCGCAGGAACGCCGAGGCCCTCTCGCACCTCACGCCGCCCGTGCAGTACATCAGCACCGTCTTGTCCGTCAGCGCCTCGAGGTTCCGGTCGATCCACCCGGGCAGCTCGGAAAAGGTCCTCACCTGCGGGATCAGCGTGGGCAACCCGTCCACCCGGAACGCCCCAATTGCGCTCTCGTAACAATTTCGAACGTCCAGCAGCACCCGCGACCCACACCCATCACCGCAAGCCAGCATGTCGTGAAACTCCCATGGAGACACGTGCCTGCCCGCATCCTTGCCCGGGTCGGCCCCCCCCACCGCGCGCGGCCCCATCGCCACCACCTCCTCCACCACGCTGACGCGCAGCCGATCGAATCCCGACTCCACAGTCGCGGCACTGTTTCTTGCCCCGCCGCTCTCGCACAGCTTAAAATCTATGTCGCCTCCCAGCAATGGGTGCCGGGCGATTTGCCGCGCATGCTCATTGAGGGCAGACATGCGGCCCCCTAGGGTGGCGTTGAGGCCGTCCCGGGCGACCCTCACGCGGCCGCGCAGGCCCAGCGCGGAGCAGCCGTCGGTGTAGAAGGCGCGCAGGGCATCCCGGTCGGGGATGGCCTGGTATTTGTAGTACAGGAGGACGGCGTCCGGGTCCGGGGGTGGGGAGGAGGGCGATTTGGCAGCGGCCTCCGGCGCCTCGCCAGGCGAGGCCATCGAACGGGGAGCGCAACGGGACACAGGAACGCACCCACCGGCAATGCAGGTTGGGTTGCACTGTTCGCTTTGTTGTGCGAAACGAACGGTGCAGTACAAGTACGGTACAATGCAGCACAAAAACAGCACACAGTGACGAATAGTGCACATGAATGGATACAACACAAGGAACAAATACAATGACCAATGCACAATGAACAACACAACACAATGAACACACGCGGCACCACACAGCCGCGTTATTAATCAGCCGAGAATGAACAGCGACAGCAACTTTCTTTTGCCTTTTTGGTTCGGTCAAACTGACTGTTTTTTCATCTTTCTGGCATCGCCAGAAAACGAGCAATTTCACGCCGACATAAAGTGCAGTGGGTGGGAGCTGGCTTCATTCGGCAGCGTTCACGAGCAAAGAGCTGAGGTCCATGGCGTCCCACAATAAGGTGCCAACTCGGCGGCTGCTGTGGTCGGGGCCGGGCTGGTCGCAGGCCAAGATGAAGCGGTTCATGGAACACGGAAGGGATTGGAACGTACGTGGCTGAGGGATG